ATAAAAATGAGAACTAAAAGTAGAAATTTCGATTTTTCCGACCCAAACATGTGTTTCGACTTTTGATAAATAGTAGAAACCTTAATTTTCAATTATCAAACATTTCATTTGAAGAATATATTAGAGACGGGTCTGGAGCAAATCGATCTAGTTAGGCGGAGAAAGGTGGGTCCAACTGACCCCGAGGCCTCGGGCTAAGCCCAGTGCATTGTCCCCAGTGGCCAAGGCTGAGCCTAGTGCTCGGTCTCCCACGACTAAGGTCGAGCCTAGTGCTCGGCCTCGGCTGGTTAAGACCCGGCCTCGAGACCGGGTAGGGTGCGTAGACGTGGTCAAGAGGGGCATAACCGCCCACCCTTTTTCTTAGGGATGGTTAAGAGGCCAATCTAGTATATCATTCTTCTATTTGTCTTGTTGAGACATCACAATCTTTTTTGTAATCATCTTACACAAGTCATTAATACAAGACATTATCCTTCCTATTCAACACTTTGTCTTTATTTATTCTTTAATTATTGGTTTAATTAATTTGGGTCACCCGGGTTAATTTATGTGTTTTCATTGAGAGTTCGACATACAAGCTCGAGCGTACTACCTACCATCAATGGCGAGGTCAAGGTCCAGTTCTCACAACTCTCGTGATTCTTGCAATACCATACCCATGTCTCCCCTAGCGGGAACGACCTCAATAGGACTGCAAGCTGGCAAACCCTTTTCGTGAGGTCTGCGGGGGACTTAAGAGACCAGCTCAATAACAACCATAGTGGCGGGTTGGCTCCACTCGCTCCACCCACAACCCTGGCCTAAAAGATGGGGTGGCTGCGATCCAACGAGTCGCAACTTTGTTAACCTGCTTCGTCAAGGGGCTCCAAGGGTGTAGTGCAACCCCTCACCACGGCATCGAGGTGCCACATGGGGTCGTGCAAGGTCAGCCGACCCTCACTCTGCCCCCTCTAGGGTTGAGCATGAAGTCGGGCACTTGTTTTCTGCGGGCGCGCAAAGCTCAGATGGTGTTTGTTGAGGCAAATAGCATTGTCCTTATGGTATAATACAAAGTAAAATTATTTATGGACTATTATATCAATAATTAAACTGAATTTTTTTTTGTTCATTTGAAATTAATATAAAGCCAACCTCAGTAAATACCACATGATCACTGAAATATATATATATTGATTGATGTTAACATGCGTGTGGTCCATCCCAAAAATGTCATGCGCGTGGTTCATCCCGAAAATGTCATGCGCGTGGTTCACCCCAATCCAAGTATACAAAATAACGTGTGCAATAGGACAATTTATATCATGGATCATGATTCACATAGTATTATAAACTCTGAATTGAAACGAGGTACCATATTTGTACTCGTAAGATACATAATTTTATAATACAAAAAATTACAACACAAGACATATAGTATTATGGATCCTAGATTTAAACGACGAGGTACAAAATTCATACTCTAAGATACAAAATTTCATAACACAAGACACAAAAATCATAACACAAGACACATACACATGTTATATATTTACTTATTTTTCAAATCTGATTTTGAAAGAATGGGTTTAAAATATAATTATGTAGTGTGCAAAAGAGAGTTTTTATACTACACAATTTAACCTTTTTAAAAAATTAAATTGTACTTATACTAGTGTAAATCCACATTTCTTTTCAATATGGGACAAAAGAGTACTTAAAAATCTTCCCAACTCAAATGTAATCCTTATACCATGGACCACAGTACACATTGATGCATGTGTATGTGTTTTATGTTGTAAGTTTTTGTATCTTGTGTTATGAAATTTTGTATCTTAAGTGTATGAATTATGTACCTGAAACAAATTAGTAGTTGTGTCTTATGTTATGAATTTTTATGTCTTGTGTTGTGAAATTATGTGCCTATGAACACAAATTTTTGTACCTAAATCAGATTTGAAAAATAAGTAATATATAACATGTGTATGTGTCTTGTGTTGTGATTTTTTGTGTCTTGTTTTATGAAATTCTATACTTTACGAGTACAAATTTTGTACCTCGTCGTTTTGATTTATGGTCCACAATGCTATGTGGACCCTAGTCCATGATATAAATTGCCACTCAAATGAGTATATTTTGAAAACACATTTCTTATTTACCCAACAATTTATATCATGAATCATGGCCCACATAGCATTATGGACCCTGGATCGGAGCGATGAGATACAGAATTCATACTTACAGTGTACATAATTTCATAACATAAGACACAAAAAATCACAACACATGACACACTCACATGTTATATATTTACTTATTTTTCAAATATGAATGAATTAGATAATTTATGTACATGGGCGTCACCGAATTTCACAACACAAGACACAAAAATTAATAATATAAGACAAAATTACTAATTTGTTTCATGTACAGAATTCATATTTTTAATGTACAAAATTTCATAATACAAAACATAAAAACTCACAACATAAAACATATACACATGCACTAAATTCCATAGTACACTATGAACCCTAGTCATGGTATAAGGATTGTATTTACTCATTATCCATTTTGAATTTGAATATATAATATATCAAATTAAACTTTTTATTTAGGAGAAATACATTGACTCAACCCAAATAAAAAATGAACCCCACTCAAAATTATACGTCAAAATTACCATTTTAAATATCATATTTAGCTAATTTATTTTTTTTTAATATTTTTTTTTTATAAAAAAAATCACCAAATAAAATACAAATAAACGGGCAGCCAATATAGAATGGCAACCTCTTAATTACTTTACTGTTGAGTGTTGAAGATGTAAAGAAACGATTTATATGAACTTTCATGGTTTCAAAAGGTTGAATCTCAATTCTAAGGCTAATATTATCACCTGTGAATCTCTTTCACTTAAAAAAATAAATCTCACTTCTATATCATTTTATTTACAGATCATCCACTATTCACGCTCATCCCTACAAATCTAATCAACTTTTAAAAGTGGGCCCAACATATTAAAATAACATTATTAATAATATTAAAATAATAAAAATAAAAGAAAAACAATAAACAAAATTAAATAATACAAAAGCTGCCGCGGTTTGCAAATTTGATGCAGAAGCAAAATTGCAAATCGCCTTAATTTAAAAAAAAAAAAAAAATGCTGACGTGGCTTAGCCACATCAGCTTGTAAAGCCAATATTGACTGGGATAATCCCAACCTAAGGGTCTTATGATCCGGTCTGACAGAACATTTGAAAGAATGTAAATTATGATAACTCAGTTAAATACAGAGACTAGACCTCTGTCCTCATTTTGAGAAGTTACTTTTACACTGTCGTTAGTGAGATTCGATTCCGAATCATTGTTTCTAAAATTCACTTATATGACTAATTGAGCTGCCCGTGCGGACTTATATAAGCTTCATTTCATTTCAACACTCAACGGCATGATTAAGACGATCCATTTGCTCCTTGTGCGCACTGACATTTAACCCAGCCTACTAATCCATTAAATCACCGTAATTTACATCTTCCCACATACTTTGTCGGGTCGGAGTATGGGGAGCCTTTAGGGCTGAAGATTAAGCTTTTTGGGGTAAGACGATCCATTTGTGAAATATGAGGAAGTCGATCGGTTTTCGAATGGGACAACAATTTATACTCCAAATATTAAAATAGAGATGTGTAATGTGACAAGTGGCACGACGTTAGTCATCAAAGTCTATAATGTACCTCAATTTTCACATTTTACATTTATGATTAAGATCGACTAAGCTAAATAAACCACACATTTTATTAAAGGGATTTTTTTTGAACTTTTAGATTTTCTTATTTCTAAATTTATTCATTTCTTTTAATTTTGATAAATTTAGTTATTTAACGTATTCAATCATGATTTTTGTAAACTTTAATTTTAAAGTTTTAAAATAATAAATTTTAATAAATTTTTATTAACTTTTATAGTGTAGTTTTAAATTTTTGTAAACTTTGTAAGAATCTATATATATATATATATATATATATATATATATATATATATATATATATATATAAACATTCATATACTTTTATTAATTTTTATAGACTTTTTTATTTTTAAAAATATACTCCGTACAAAAGTTATTAACATTCTAAATTGAATACATTCTTATAAGTTTTCAATGAGTTCGATTACTATTGTTTATAATTTTTTTAAAAAAATTATAATTTATTTAAAAATTCTTCTTCTAGTTCTTCATTGACATCTTTCTCAGTAGTATTATTTTAATCCATAATACGGTGAAACATTGAGTAAATACCAGTGGACGTCCTCTGGCTATTGTGACACTGTCACTTTTAGTCCTCAACTTTTAAATCTACCACCGTCAGTCCTCTTACTTTTGATTACGTTCCATCTATAGTCCTTCCGCTAGATTTGACCGTTTGACCCTATTTTCTCAAGGGTAGAATTGTCTTTTCACAATTGTTGAGATTAATACTTTGTTTTTCAAACTTGAAACTTCCTTATCATCTCCGTCGAAGAAACCCATTCTCCACTGCCAAGAAATTGCTTTGCAAAACATTAGTAGTTACCAAAATTAAGAGTTAAATACCAATGAAAGAAAATTTGCACCCAACGAAAAAAAATATTTTTTAACTTGCACAAAATTATCATAATTTCACTGTGATTTTGTTTTTCAAAAAAAAAATTTCATTCTGTATTATTAATTTAAACAGAATTGATTTAAACTAGATCAATGACTGGGATTTCACCTCTTTTTTTTTTTTTTTTTTACCTACAAACTACTTCGCATTTCATCTCATTTTTTACCTGAACTAGTAGAGAACTAAGAGAAGTAAATCACAAAATGTACTTCAAATGACCTTACCTCTTCCAAATGCTTCTACACTAGTGCTAACAATAAGGTTAAATTCATACCTTCTTTTTTTTTGTTCTTTAATATAATTCAAACTCTACACCTTACTACTGGTAGCTAAGCAAAGCTATTCCTTTTCTTTTCTATTTTCTAATATATCTGAATGAAATAAAATTATGTATTGTACTTATGACATCATAATTAAAATTACAAAGCTATTGGAGCCTTTGACAAACTGACTTTGCTGGCTGCTAACCAACATCTGAAAAGTCAACATATATCTAACATTCTACTCTTTCAGTTAAAGGCTAAAAGGAAGCAATAGAAACAAGATAAATTACATCTAAGGATCAGAGCTAACATTATCATATCTCAGATCTTGGAATCTACTCAACAAATTTGACTTGTACTTCTCAACTTCAGCATCCTCGAGGGAACCAGCGGGGATGGACTTGATAGCTGATATTGCTCCACCGACTTGCAAGACCGCAGCAGCTTCATCTGCAGAAAAGCCCAAGGCGGGAAGTTTTAGGATGAGATACTGTTAGGATCAAGCGCTTACCACTCACGCCAAAAGCTATAGCTAGTAGCAAAGGCGCAACTTATTTCCCTTAATTATAGACCGTCATCACATTGTTCGAGACAGACTGGGTGCTGGACTTGGCCCTTAGGGGCTTATAGACTGTCATCACATTGTTCGAGACAGACTGGGTGCTGGACTTGGCCCTTAGGGGCTTTACCGGCCTCTGCCCAACAATCCCTCCAGCCACCGGGTACTAGACATGGCCCCTTTACCGGCCCTACCCAGCAAAAGCAAAAGATTCTTTTGCAAGATTTCAATAATCCCTGAACAAAAAATGCTTAAATAAATCATTGTAAAGAAAAATGCACGTAAGTTTGAGAGTCTTGCCTGATTTTGAGATAGCAAACAGAGCCTTTAAAGCTTCCTTCCTTGTGCGGTCATCTTTAGCAGCCTCCAACATCTTCACAAGTTCTTGAGCTCCACCCATTTCAATAATTTTCATCCGTCTTTCATCTGGAAAGCCAAAGAAAATACTAGAAATAAGAGATAAACTAGAGCATCATCAAGTTCACTTCAGTTAATGACCCAAAAATGAACATAAACAAAGCCATGGTCTGCACATACATTTCCAGTTTTTATTATTAATTACCTAAATGAATAAACTACATCTTAACATCATAGGTATTGCAACACGAATATATATATGCTTGCTAATTTTCTAGCTTTGGCATGCCTACCAATGGTAATAGCCAATAGGAGAAGTCAAACTCCATACAATTCTTCAAAAATTATAATTCAGAAGTCCATAGGTTGTAGGTTCAACAGCATACGAAAAGCCTAATGACATGGTGATTGAGATCCACAACAGAAATATTACTATAATAAGGTTCTCCTATGAAAACAGCCTAACTTTGATCTCTTGTTCATATACAGTAACCTAGTCATTTTACCTTAGCAAATGCAAAACTCATTCCTTTTGACAATATCGTAACCAAGATTCTCTAATTACTTGGAATATTCTAGACACATAATTTCAACGGCTCTTGGAGCATGATTCTATCCACAAGTTAGTGATTACCCAATTTTTTGGAGATAATTAAGTAGTAACCAACAAATGTTTAACTTTGAAAATTATTTCTTTACAGGGGTAAAAAGTGTTTACAAACTTTGCCTCTGTAAAAACCAAATGTTGATTAAAGTTATTTAAGTAGAACAAAACAAGAATCCATATTGTAAAGAATATAGGGTATAGGCCCAAGCACCATGCAATTTCCATATCACCTATTTTGGTCAACGAAAAAGTTTCAAAATACACATATTACTCATGTATCAAACACAAAGCAAATCATTACGCACTAATATTAACCTCAGGGTATTCTAGCCCAAACATACCATCAATGGCAAAACGAGCCAACCTGGACGCTCCCATTCTTTTGAACAAGGGATCCTTAACTTGTAAAAGTGTCACAGACTGCTGCAACAGATTGTCTCCTAAAAAGGTCAAATTGTATTATTATCAACACCAATCAGAAAAATAAAATAACTATAAATTCTAGGAATTGTTGAGTTTAGAAATTGCAAACACACACCCATGTATGGGAAAAACTGATAAGCTACAACTGTTGCAGTCCCAGCAAAAAACAGTTTCAACAGCCACCCTATTTTCCTTTCAGCCTCTTCTTCTATGGATCTTTCATCTACAAAAAGAAAAATGTGTGATAAAAATGGATGCAAAGAACACAGGGTGGATAATGAAGCAAAAACCTATTCTTATCTCCCCCCCCCCCCCCCCCACCCCCCCCACACCCACAAAAAAAACATTATAATTTGCATCAAAAAACTACCTTAATTTTGAATTAAAGGGAAAAAAATCAACTAGGCAGATAAAATCTAAGCTCCAAATAGATTAGTTGTAAAAAACACAACATTCATTATTTACTCTCATTTGAAAATACACTCCCAGCTCATAGGATTTCAAATACACCCAATTTCCAACCTTGGGCTCTTAGTCAGATAAAAATCTCAATAGATCATCAGCATCCTATCCAATGTCCACAATAACGCCACACTAGGTCGGAGCCGATCACAATTGTGCATCAATTTTTCAAATAATTGAAATTAATAAAAGAGAAAAATAAGGGTATCACCTCTTCCGTAGCTAGATGCAGAAAAATTCTTCTGGGGTTGAAAATTCACTGCCTTTCTTCTGAAAATATGCTGCATTAGTACAATAAAATGAAAACTTGATCAAGAATTAAAGTTACAGAGATCAGGGCAGATTTTAGTCAAAAAGAAAATAAGAAGCTGATGGCTTACCGTACTTAACCTCACCGCCAACGTACGCATGACCGGAAAGAGAAAGGAAGAGTAGAGCTTCGAAGATTTGTTGGTATGTAAGCAGGAATTTCACTGGGAGAAGAGTTCAGTGGAAGGCTTTTGGAAATGAGTTCAGCAATAGAAGCCAGGCTGGGAATTTAGAATCTTTGAGAAAATAGTGGAATATAAATATTGAGTTAATTTCATACTCAATTCTCAATGCATTTTTTATTTTAATTTTTAATTAATAATTTGACCATATTTTAAATTTAATTTTGTGAAGAGTTTTTTTTTTTTTTTTTAAACCTTATTTTGATAAGAGTTATAAATTTAGTTTTTTATCACTAATTTGAACTCAACTCCTTAAAATTTAAAAGCTAAAAGATAAATTATTATTTTGTGAATTGTTAAAGTTATATTTATCAATCACGGGTGTTGCTCTAGGCCTCTAGTAGCTATATTCAGACATAATGCTTGGCACCCAAATTCTCGGCAAATTATTATGTGGACCATAACAAAAAGTACATTTTTAATATACTAAAAGTACATTATTCGTGTACTGAATGTACATTATATACAAAATAATGTACTTTTCCTGAATACAATGCACATTTTTAATATACAAAAAGTACATTACTTGTGTACTAAATGTACATTATTGATAGTATGATCCACACAGTTGTGTGGGCCATATGATTGCAAATTCTCAGTAAACTAGTTAAGTACACTAATTGAAAAAGTTTTAATAGAGTCAATGAAGAAATTAATAATTCAAAAATAATCATTTACATTCTAGCCTTCAAATTTTATAAAGATGGGTAGATGAGACAAAATTGATAATGTAAGATTAAATTTGAAAACTTGAGAATATCATTAAAGGCAAAATATTACTAAATTCATTAAAGTTAAAAGCAAAATATTACTAAATTATTAGTTGAGCAATAAATTTAAGACTGTTATCATAGACAAATAGACGTACAACAACTAAATATGAAATTAACTCAACAAAAATAGTTTTTTAAAAATTTCCTTTTAGAATTGTACTGTGTATTTCTACTTTTATTTTTATGTTGTTTTACAAATTACATATTTTTTTTTTTTGTAACATCATAGTACAACGACAGAAAAAGGAGTACTGAAAAGAGATTCTACCCTAAAGAATCCCAAGCTAGGAATTGTTTAATATAGGGGTGGGCATTTCGGTATTCGGTTTCAGTTTGTTTGGTTTTTAAAAAATGATACCATTCGGTTTAACATTATAGTTCAGACCAGTTTCATTTCGTTTTGAAAAAACATCGATTTTGGTTCGGAATTAGTTCAGTTCAGTTTAAGAACCCCCAATTCTCAACATTTCCTAATTTTCGAAACACACTACCAAACAACACATATTCATAGTCCAAACCCAAAATCTAAACATCATATAACAAAATAGCAATCCACAAAGTCCAACACACACTACTACAAGAATCATTAAAACAATAATTTTCAAATGTTCAAATATTGAGGAATTGAAATCACAAAGTAAAAATAAATAAGGCAGTGTTCGACTGTGTCAAGCACCCTTTCCAGTGCTTGGCCAAGTGCTTGCCAAGCACTGGAAATCTTTATGCAAACTGAGAAAATGATGAGAAAGAATTTGTTGTTTGTATTTCATCAAACCAAGCAGTGGAAATTTTATTATTTTAGAGTAATTGAGTTCTTAGAATATTTCTTTTAAAAAAATATAGAGATTTGGAGTGACAGAGGACAACTAGGTCAGACATCAACCAATTTCCACTATCACATTTGAGCATTAAATCAAGTCATGGCTATGAAATACTGGAAATCAGACATGAAAACTCCTAATTCAACAAAGACATTCGAAGGAGGAGGAGGAGGAGTACCTTCGTCTGTTCGCGGAGGCTTGGAGGCGGCGGAGTAGGCAGCCGGGGGACTGGTCTCCGGTCTCCGGTCTGGCGAGGCGCGCTGCGGCGATTTAGTCGACTGAGACACTGAGTTAGGCTAAGGATTTAGGGAGACGGGACTACGGGAGTGAGGCGCGCAGCGGCAATGTAGTTTATGTATGATGCGTTGCAGAAAATAGTACAAATTGGAAACAAAAACAAATATTCAAAGCTTGATAAAGAATGAGGAAGAAAATGGTAACAATCAATCTAAGAAAAAATATTAAAAGTTTTTTTAAATTGTAACTTGATGCATTTCAATTTGTTTTTTGTTATATATATATATATATATATATATATATATATATATATATATATATATATATATACTAGTATTTTTTACGTGTTTAATATTAAAATATTGATAAATACAAATAATTCAAAATTTATATACACAAATAATATATGTATTTTATACACACATATATAATTTACCATTTATAGAAATTTAATTAAAATATAATCAACTATTAAATTAATTATATAATAACTTTAATAAAATGATAATTAAAGAATAGAAAAAAGATTTGATAGATGAATGATTATAACGATAGAGTTATCTATGTTATAATTAAAAAAGTAACGGTGTAAGAGTAGTTTTATCTAATTTGTCTAATAATATTGAAGTGTACAATATTTAAAGTAAAATGTATACATTTATTAGCATACAAAAAAATAGACATAAATCAACAATATAACCTTGATTGAAACTTATTATGTTTTATGATTTTTTTTTTATTATGTTTTTGGATATATATTCAAAGCTTGATAAAGAATGGGGAAGAAGAAAATGGTAACAATCAATCTAAGAAAAAATATTAAGGTCATGTTTGGTAAATCACTGTTAGTTGATAGATGTTAGCTATTACTCCCTCCGTCTCATTTTATCTGTCTTACTCTTCTTTTTAGTTTGTCCCAAAATAATGTCATCTTTCCAAAATTGAACATAACTATCAATCTACATTTTTCAAATTACCCTTTTGACTTTTCAAATTTCTAGAGGTAAGTATAATTGTACTTTTTACAAATAACACCTACTTTTAAGGGGAAAAATTGGAAAAGTTAGTAACATTTGTTATGTTGTATTAAAATCTGTGCAAAAAGTAAATGAGACAATCAATTAGGAACGGAGGGAGTAGCTGATTGGGTTAGTTACAGAGTATAATTAGTTGATAACATAGATGATTGTCGAAAGATATTTGGTAAATTAGCTGATAGCTGTTTGGTATAATTTATTTTCTTAAAAAATTAATTAAAAAAGTTACTTTTAGTAGTTTTTTAAATTTTAGCATTTCGGGAGTACAAAAAGTTAATTAACTAAACACTTATATTGATTTTTAAACCAAGTTAAATAACTAATAATTGTTAAATAAGCTAAAATTAATCTATAAATTAACTATTTTACCAAACAAAGCCTAAAAGTTTTTTAAATTGTAACTTAATGCATTTCAATTTGTTGTTTTGTTATATATATATATATATATATATATATATATATATATATATATATATATATATATATATATATATATATGGTGCATGTTGTTAACATTGTTAGTATATTCTGAAATTTCGCCACACGACCACACCTTACAACATGACCACATATAAACATTATTATTATTATTATATATATATATATAGGGAAGGGATCAGGTATGGGAGGGGGCTTCCCGTGTGGTTGGACTCACATTAAGCATTAAACTGACGCACTTAATGTACACAACACACGCACATTAAGCACACAAACAAAATATCTTCAGAACACAAACTCACACACCTTAAGCACAAAACTCACGCATCTTAAGCACAACTTTCACGCACCTTAAGCACAAAAACAGACGCATCTTAAGTTTCAACAACTACTCACATTAAGCACAAACTCATGCACCTTAAGCATAAGACTCACGTGCCTTAAGCACAAGACTCACACACCTTAAGTACAAAACTCATGCACTTTAAGCACAAAACTCATGTCACTTAAGTTTCAACAACTACTCACATTAAGTATACTACCACGTACTTTAAGTACAAAATTCACGCACATTACTCACCGCACAAGCGTACAAGAAATATGCACCCGCACGAGAACTTAATTTTATATATTTATATATATATATATATATATATATATATATATATATATATATATATATGGACGCAACCATAATTTTTTGGGTGAGGAGTGGATTTAAAAATATTTAAACACAAGGTTCAATTGTCAAAATATATTTGGAATAACACTCCTCTATACTCTCTCATATTTTGAAATTGTTGTAGAATTGCTTCATTTAAAATTGAATCAAAAATATTTTTTTCAACATACGATATTAAACAATTATGTAATAAATCTTCACTCATTCGGTTGCGTAAATATATCTTGATTAATTTCATAGCAGAAAATGTTATTTCTACACAAACAGTTACAACCGATAAGATCAAAGATAACTTTAAAAACAAATACACCAACATATGCTCAAATGCTCAATTACACAAAAGTCATAAGTTTAATGATCTATGTGACATATTTTCTTAAATATACGATGATAAAAACCTTTAGATTAGAACTGTTGTACAGCACACGCACACGAGTCTCTGCGTTCTATGTTCAACAAATAAATAAATAAATAAAATATGCGTCTTCTTGAATACTAATGTCAAATTGTACGCAGAATGATGCTTCTCTCTCCATTTTGAATTAACAAACTTGTTGTATGTAGCCATATTCTTAAAAGTGAATTTGGCCTCGGATCTGGGAAAATCTGCCCACCGTCAATGTAGAATTGTTACCTCCAATCTGCCTGCCCTAAATCAGTGTATACATGATACAAGTGGAAGTCCTAAAATGCATACTCAAATTTTAATATATGCTCAATGAAAGACATGAGGGTTAGTATAAAATTCGGGATCAATAAACACTGGTCTCAAGTCTTCTTCACGCATGAACTCCAAAGGAAAACGAACAAGATTTCCTTTAATCAGCTTTACCCTCTCTGTTGGATTCACTATGGTGACTTCTTTATCATCGGCATATACTCGAACAAGTTTTTTGGGAGCAACTCCTAAATCAACAGTGTTGTGCCTCAGTCTTTCTTTACATTGTCTTAGTGCAGACCTGTATTGTATTTGGTGGATTTGTTTCGTTTGTATTAATATCATCGAAATGAGATCAAAAAAAGGTTTTGGGAGTCCAGTACCTTGAGTATATAAGGTCATTTGGGATGCAAGAGAAGACGTCTTGGTAGATAGTGGCATTCAACTGTGAAATGAGTAAGGCATTTGGATTGGAGGTTAGAACTTTGTGGACCAAACAAGTTCTAATATCATTAGCCAAGGTCACTCAACTGGGCTATAATACACATAGGTTAAACCACACTAAAAAACTAAATCCAATCAATTAGATACTGAATTGCAGAGTTCAATCAAAATAGAAATTTCCTCACCTTAGCAGTTGCAAGCCACAAATCTTTGTATGTAGTGTCAGCTATAGGATCCTTGATTTGAGAAATCTGGAAAACGACAGATCTTAACATGCAGTACTTGTGGAAGTGAATTGCTTACATAGTGTTAAGAAGGAATTTTCATATTGCTGAGAAGAAAGATTTAAACGATGCACGTCTCAACTCTCAAGTGAACCGTCGTCACTAACCTCTCCAGTACGCAGACCCAAGTGCTCTGCCCATAATGACACCCGAAGGCTAAATGCAAACCTTCCAGCCTTCCAAGGCTTTCCATCCATCGACGACTCAATAAAATCTTTATCTTCAATGACTACAGCAATCTGAGGTCATCAACTTTTCGTCACATGAAAATTCTATCATGTCCTCAAAAAAACAGACAGAATTCTTGCAATTGGTCCACACAATAATTTGCCGTCTTGTAACATCAACAAACAAATTAATACCTGATAACATAGAGATTGCAGATTACCTCGGAGTCTCTAGATCCTAGCAAGCTTCTATCATTAATATTAGATGATCCAAGCAACGCTATGCGGTCATCCACTATCATGAGTTTACTATGGACATAAACCTGCAGCAGAAATTGAGAAGAATTTGAAACTAGTTAATGGTACTTCCCCAATAACTTGCCTCTCGGGAGATTGGTATAGGCACATAATCTAGACCTCATATCTCTTGCTCTTGTAAGGATTAGGAAAACTGTCTGTAAGAGGATCATTAAGAAGTTCAAACTAAAAATTGCTAGTATGGCAAAAGTCAAAAGATGTTATGAGTGCAACGAAATCAAGCATGGCCACAAAAGCAAATCAGTGCACATAGGGACACAAGGAAAACCAAATATCATGAGAAAGGAAAACTCAAAGTGTAAGCCACACCAAAAGAATCAAAATAGCAATTTTAAAGGTCAGTGAACATAAGTTTGACTTATTTAAACATAACTACATAAGATTTGAAAGGAAAGCTGAGCTAGGGTAACTCAATTTTTGGGTTATAATGCACATGGGCCAAACCACACTAAAAGATTGAATCCAACCAATTAGCTAGTCTAACTCATGGCCTTATAAACCCATATGTTCTCTCTTATTTTATCAATGTGGGACTCTTAACAATAAATAAGATTGATTTGACTTACTTAAACATGCACATATTCTTGTGAGAGTGCTTCATAGAGAGTACCTGGCTTGTGACCAATGGACAGCTATCGGAAAGTTGTCCATAAGTTCTGAGACCACAGAAAGATATGTAATCAGATGCTTTTTGACCTAGCAAGGCATTAAGATTATGCAGTATAGAGTTTTGTCCCCTGCAAATTGTTCGGTATTGCCAATGCATTATGGCTCTCACAGATGCTGCTCCACTGTCATCCAGACCCCCCTGTAATTTGCAAAAATAGATTAAAAGATGAATACGAAGAGAACTCAAAACAAACATTATTATGTTGTAAAAAAAAAAAAAAAAAAAACCTGGTATCCCGGTAAGAGTGGGATGACGATTATGACCCTGAAACATTTCTTTTCTTTGTATGCCAGCAATATGCGTTTGTATAAAGCATCAAGCACTCGATTCTGAATGATTTCATCCCCAGAGAGGCCAGATATAAAAAATTGGTTCTGGATGGGGACATTCCCAGAGAAAGTAATAGCAAAAGTTAAAGTTTCCATTGGATATCCAGAATAGAAAATCTACAAGTGCTCTCTGCTAGGAAAATCACAATTAGATCATAAGCCATACTTTGTTACCTCAATGTAGACAAAGTGCTCAGCATTCTCAATGAGAGAACAATAAGCTGTATGAATACTGTCTTCAGTATAACTTGTTCCAGCCGACCATTGGCTTACACTTCTGATAACCTATGGCACATTAGACATTAAATATATAGGTATTTTGGAAGGTCATTTTCCTTTAGTTAACATGAAAGCAGTATGAAAGGATGGAGGCTTAGAGCTTACCAGCTGAAATAATTATTAAATTTAAAAATAAAAAATAAAAAATTCCCAACCTGACAGGAACAAGGGGTCCGAGGACCAGCTTCTGCTAATTCATCAACTGAGACCTTTTCCCACCAACCATCTTGCAGGTCAGTTGTTTGATCTTGTGGATCCAATTGACCACAGACATCTGAAAATTTTCATCTCCAGATCTAAGATTCAAGTGTTAATAAGAGTGGTAAATGGAAATACAGATCTCACAAGCTTTCGCCAACTGATCAAAAGAGGCATGGGAATAGAGTACATACCATCTAGTGTGTTGTTTAGATTGGAAGCTTCCATGCCACTAGCTTCCTGGGGCAAAAGCAATGGTATGTCTTCAGGAGGTGACCCTGAAGCAAATAAGTCCTGTCCATTTAAGTCTTTTGCATCCGCTTCAGCATTCTTAATTTCAATGTCTACTTCTTGGCTTCTTCCCAAGTAATGTGGGATAACCATGTGGTGTTTCGGCATAAGTAGTGGTATTTCTTGTTCATTTGCAGCTTTGCTTCTCTGTCGAATATGAAGTTATATTAGCAAATCGAAACTTTTAGAAGAAGCAAAGCAAAGGAATGAAAGAAACCTTAGCATGATTCCAGCGCTGAACAAAATGCCTTGCAATATCTCGGCATGGGGGTCCCCAAAGTGCACAGTGGACATCATGCCAAGGCATACGTGGATATTTTTCTCGGTCCAGTTCATCTCTCATTGCATCTTCCCATGAATTTGGTTCAGATTCCCTGTATAATCCAAACAGGAATATTCCATATAAGAAACTCCACATGAAAACATGAAAATTCCAAACACCAGAGATCGATTATTACATTCAGTATTTTAATGGTTTTCAGTTAATTGATTTTAAAATCCCAATTAACTAGTTCAACAACTACCCTACAGTAACTTCTCTATCATAAGTTGGGTGTAAGATGAAGATTGAATTCACCTTGGGTTGTAATAGTCCTTTCCGGGCCATAAAAAAGGAGGGTAATCACCAATTTTATGTTCAACTGTATCATAACGGCCAAAGCATAAGTCCAATCCACCAATAAAGCAGATATGATGATCTACAATAACAATTTTTTCATGATGTGACCTGCATATAGTGAGCACTTCTAGTCTAGTTTGCATATATATCTCAGTTTGATGACAAAGGTAACAGTAGATAATTCTATTGCCATACCAGTAATAGATTCCTGCAGATAAATGGTTAGGATAGCGTAAAACTTTCACATTCTTGTGAATGCTAAGAAGCTTCTTTTTACTGTATAAACTGTTAATTTTTAATGCAAGAGCAACCTCCTTGTACAGAAGAATGAATATCTGCATAAAATTAAAATTCAATTTTACTGAAATTTGACCAATGATTCCTGAGAAGTAAAATAAACAAATAAACATACTATCTACTTTGGTGAGTTCAAAATATGAACAATAAGAAATCATTTTGTATTGCACCTGAACCCCTTGATTAGCTTTTGCTTCAAGTAAAACATCTAGTCTAGAGGATCTGTGATTATGAAATGGGCGTCGTAAATACAGTTCAGGGCAAAGCCACCATCCAGTAATATATATCTGCATATTCAACTAGCAATTACTTCCATCTTCAAACACCACCACAGACAAAAACGGTAATCTAGAACTTAAAGAGCTGAACCTCAGATTTGGCACTCTCTATTGCTGAAGCAATTGCTCCAAACGCTGCCTTTCCATCTATAAACCACTGAACATGACTGCCATCCTCAGTCAATCCTCTTTGTGGAGCAAAAGAACCAAAGCGGTGAGTATTACACCAACCTTCTTTGGGCTTTAGACCAGCCTCATTAATTGCAGAAACCCAGTCTTTTACTTTACCATAGCTCGCAGTTCTGAATTTTATGCTTTGATTCCCACAAGAAACCTTTCGGCAAATCCAAAATGTCAGAAAGCATAGAAAGCTTCAATACCAATGAATAGTGATAAAACAAGTCCAGCAGCTGACCTTAAATGAATAACGCAAAGGATTGTGTTCCCTTATTTCCTCTGCCAAATTTACTTGCTCCTTGTCCTTACCATTAACAGCAGGAAGGGCATCGAAAACAAATATGTCCAACAGTTCGGTGTCAAAAGGGTTTCTTAGTAAAGCTAAGAAACCAGGCTTCAGAACAGCCCAAACCTACAATGGCCATAGATAATTAACAGCATAAGCTTAAACATACATTCCTATCAGAGAAACAACAATAAGCAGGGTAAGTTTTTATATCAAGAATCTACTATTTATTTAACATGAAAATTCAAAATATGGTAATGAACAAGAGAAATGATTGAAACAAGAAAAAAGAGACTTCAAGTAAACACTATGTTACAACATATTGGAAAACCAAAATGATTCCCAAGCCTCTATTGATAATACTTTTTGTAGTGTTCTAAAGATACTAGGAAAAGAGCAGTAATCCTAAAACTAGAAATCTGGAAAATAGAGCTATGCCCTTTTGCCACTAACATTTGTTAACTGTTTAATTCAAACCAATAAAATGGTCAGTGGCCCAATATGTTTACTGCATAATCTAAAAATTGGTAACACCATTAGCAATCACAAATGTTGATTCTAGCAATTGAGGACAGATATGGGAAAAGGCAATGATGGAGCTAATTCACCGATGACACGGCATGAATCACTCAACATAAATTTATAAGTGATTGTATGTATTCAATGCATCAATGAAATGCAGAAAATAGTAAGTGGGCACGAGTGATTCTAACATGAAAACCACGGCCAAGCCAAACTCCATTATTTTTAGGTGTTGGTAGTACACATGTAGAGTTTGTGAGCTAAAGTGTTTTGTATAGTATCTAATGGAGCATTTATGACTTGGCAAATTATATCGTGCAAGGTGGACTTTGGTATACTGTAGGTTCATCATTAGTGTACTAGTGCATTTTAGTAGGTTCATTATATTTTGATACAAGTTTATTTTTAGTGTATTGCAAGTCAAAATGAACTTGTAATACACCAAATATGAACATGCAACATACTAAAATGAACTTGTATCAGGGATCCATCTTGTTATGTCAACCCTAGTCGACGGTATAAGCATTCTTATGAAAGTGATGTTAAGTGGGCCATGTTGTGCCGGTCCAGCACAGGACCACATGGGGGTCATGCTGGGTAGCTCACATTAGAAGGTGAATGTGAATTGTGCCAACCTAACCCACATTTTAAAAATGCTAGCCCAAATTGACCCACTTTAATCTATAAAAATATTTAAGTTAATACGGAGTAACTTTTTAAAAAAAATTAAGTTTATAATTATAATTTATACTTTTTAAAATTTAGTTGTAATTAAAAAATTTTAATTGTATTACATATTTGTATAATTGTTTATTTATATATTTATAAAGTTAAAATTTATACTTTATATATTTGATTGTTACAATTTTAGAAATTAAAAGTAATACAAGTTGCAACGAATAAAGTTAACCAATTCATAAAGATTCACATAATTTATACTATAAGTGTGAGACTCTTTATAAAATGTTTTGGATCAATTTTACATTGTATGTAAAAGAAATTTAAATAACTACATTATTACCCTACAAGCTTAAATAAATAAATAAATAAATCAATAAATAATAATAATAATAATAATAATAATAATAATAATAATAATATTAAAAGAAAAAAAGATAACAAGAGATAAAAGTAATGTGGGCTGGCTTGGTCCAACCACATCATAGGCCCCACATACAAGACCATGTCGTGCCAACTCAGGCACGGTAACACGTGGCCTCGTGGGCTATGCCTAAGCCTATGCCTAAGACGATATTATTAAATATGATGCACTAGTTGACACTTAATATAAAACGACGTCGTTTTGGATGAGGGTCCACCATGAAAGGTGGACCCTGGTCCACGACATAATTTGCCCATATTACCCCAATAGGCATAAACAATAGCTCTTTATGGAAAAGACTAGGATATTGATAAGAGTATTTTCATTACACCTAAAGGGCATTCTGCAAAGAACATTTGAAAGGCTTCGTGAAAAGAATTTACCTTTTGCCAATTGTTCTTGCAACAACCAAACCTATAACACATAGAACATCTGGAGTCACCATCTGAAATTCTGGGTAAATGCTTAACCATTACATAGTTTTCTTTAAGCTTTGGGCCATACTCAGGTAAAAATGATAACTTGGAGACCTCCAAAAACTTGATGACCTATCATCAACCAAGACAATTGATGAAAACAATACAAGAAAGAAAATAGAATAATGTTATTTCACAAGCAGGAATTCTAACTGCAGTATGTAAGAAGAAGAATGGGGAACCAATTATTAAACTTAACAACAATCTTACAGCTTAAAGTATAAATTTAGTCAATCATCTTATTGTAGCATACTTTCTAAAACCAAAATCTAAATAAAAAGAAAAAATATTTGTAGTTTTTGATTTCTTTCATCATAAAGAGACTTTTAATCCATACCAAAAGAAAAAAGAAAAAAAAAATTGAGACTTTAATTTTCAGGCTATAGTCTGCAAAATAACCTTCAAAATTTGCACCTTTAATTTCAAAGTGCCAATACCATTATCATAAATCATGAATATTGACCAACAGCCAACTAAAAATTTGCCTATGATTACTGTAATCATAAACTGTACATTCTCATGTCTCAACTAAGACATAATTCAATCTACTTAGGGTCGTCTATTTGAATTCTATAATCCCAAGGTAGTTTTAATGCTCAGTTGTAAATTGAACTCTTTGAGTGAGTGACAAAAAAAAAAAAAAAAAAAGAGCAATATCAAGCTCATCTATTATTCCACTTCAGAGAAATCCAAATATTTTACCATCAGACAACTAGAAGCTTGCATCACTCTAGGGATGAAATAACATTTATACTGTCAAATACCAAGCAAAAGCAGATAAGATACAGAAACACACAAGTCTAAAAATAAAAGCTTGTAATTCTTATAATGTCTATACTCATCTCTTTTCTGATATTATATCAAAATTCATTATGATTTTCAACTTCAATTCCTTTCATGAGAAAAGCAACATGTAATGTCTTAAAAAGTTAAGAGAATCAAATTCCACCTCACTAGTGTTTACAATGTCCAAGTTCCCCAGAAAGCAATTCAGATAATCCTGCATTGCACTTTTCGCTCTCTCCATGATGGCGCATTGCCTCCCCAATGAAGGGCGAATGATTGGCAAAGCAGCTCTAGATGGAACATGCCTGCATGATTAAGTTGTGTACAAGAAACGTCACTGTTACTACAGAAGAAAGCTTTGCGTGGTACTATTAGCTACGACCTATTTACTGGGTAAAAAGTAGAAGTTTTGTCATCACCTGTTTTTAACACAACCATGTTCATTACATGCGGGGACAACTCCATCATCAGGTTCATCATCATACTGCTGAGATGTAATTTGTTCTCGTATTCCTATGTGGTGAAGCCATTCCTTAACCTGCCATTTGGAGATCATATGAGGCAATACAAAGTTAATCAGATATTCATCCGAGGCACAATAGTCGAGCCTCAGAGCTCCATGCATTAATAAGAAGAAATAAGTCAAAACTGAAGTCAGAAAACCTGCTCTTGTTTCTCATGGAATTCCTCAATTACTGAGCGCTTCTTCAGTGCAAAGTGTAAATAAATAAGTTGAGAAGCCCTCTTCAATAAGATCCACTTGAACTGTTAATTGAAACAAGAGGAAATACGCATTACCATATAAGAGTAGGAGCACTTGCTGGAAAAAACATAATGCATGCAATGTTTCTTGACAAGGTTAAAGAAGTCCACAATAGCCAAAAAAAAAAAAAAAAAAAAGTATATGTTCTTTCTGAAGGCACAGGATAAGTATTTATAGAAACACTTCTCAACTAGTCATTTTTCTAAAGCATGGAAAGAAAGGAGTAACTCCCAAAAGTAATTTTAAAAAAAAATTGTGGGAAGGCATTTCGAAATATGGTCACTGCATGCGTTAGCTGCAAAAGCAGACAAAGTCACAAAATCAAAAATGTGGTGCATACAAATATAGAATCCAAACATGGTATACATGGAGGTACAAAAACGTCTTTCGTCTCAAAATCAAGATAAGAAGCAAAAGGCATTGACAAAAGTGCACACCATCCATTTCCAAATTGCAGGAGGAAAAGGTAACTTGGAAGTTCGAACACACTACTGCTGAACTCTCTAGATATCTTTATAGCTCCATGAACATGCTTTTGAGAGATCTATGTGAAGATGGTCAATGACCGGATGAAAAACAGAAGGAAAAAACATTTTTGACATCATATATAGATGTAACCTGGTAACAAAATTACAGTACTATTTTTAATTCGGAGGACTAACCCAAAAATAATTTTAGCCTTACACATCAAAAAGTAGAGATGAGGTAGCAGATGATACAGGCTTACAGAGCTTTGCAGAATGCGATGTTTAACTTCCATTACTATTATTATTATACAGTAATTTCCATAAAAGACTAAAGATTTGAATCTAGAAGTATTTATCATTTATTTCCTTTATTATTTACCTGGTAGACTCCTAGTTAGGTTCAGCAATCAAACAACAGTAAGTAGTATATCATAACATCAGCCAGCCAATCCAGAGTTACACCTTAAACTCAGTATGATCAAAAGGTTTGAATTTTATCAAGAAAAAACTTCAGAAGCATTGTTAATTAATGCTCCACTGTCAACTCCAAGTATTGCTTGCACTGTCATTTGACAACTGGAAAATGGAAATTCATTTAATACTCCGTATTAAACTTCAAAACTTGTCTAAAATTATTCAATCCTACAATTCTCAAGCTCAAGGAACCAAAGAATTTTAGGAAAATACATCTACAACATCAATTTATTCCCTAAATTATAACCAATAAAAAAAATCACACCCGCAACCATATATTATGATCCACATTCCACATATAGAACGATGCTCGTGAGTGCGAATATATATCATTATATGTACTCATGCTGCATAAAAGACATAGTTACAAACACACAGAATGCATTTATGAAAATACAGAAGTGTACAAACTCAACAATTAATAAGTGGCTACTCATGTACACGCGTATAGATATAAAAGGCATATAATATAAATACGCGCAGAAAATAGTCCAGTAGTACATAGCTAGGATGTTTGCCTGTTTGTATCGGAATTCAATGGTGTACGTCAATAGCAAGGGGCTGAAGCTGATGTCTCTGGGCTCCGGTCTGGACACAGAAATAATACTCGCTTTTGGCAATTCATCGAAAATCCGCGCCGCCTCGGCGTGCAACCGGAGTGAATGCGACGAGGAAAGCGCCGCCGACGACGACACGTAATTTTCTCCGATCAAATTTTCCGTCAACATTGCTCTGCTGTAAACTTCTTCTTCTTCACTCAGTCAATTCCAGTAATCATTGAAAGCAATCCTTTGACCACTCCGTTTCTCCAAACTTCAAAGATTAACAGAATAAATAAAAGTGAAAATTTGTCATTTGCACATGAAGCTTTTGGCTTTCTCTGAGTTTATGAAGGCGAATGCGATTATAATATACGTACGGGAGAGCTGGAGAAGAGTAGTAGTAAAGCGTGACAGGTGGGTTCACGGATTCAACGAGAAGTTCCAATATTGAATTGCCACGTGCGAATAACATGACCAGTATTTTAAGATTTTCTTCCTAGCTAGTAGTTTAAGATTGACACAATGACACGTGGTGGTCGAGTAATTCAAGTTTCTATGGACTATATGCAGTAGTATGCACTACGGCAGTAGGTAGAGAACACGAGAAGTTGGAGTAGCTAGGCATCCTTATCATTCAAAATTGTTTGAAGGTGTGTTTGGTTCATGGGAAAAAGACTCTAATGTGACGAATAGGCCTACCAATTTTTCCAATATGACGCTTTTTTTTTTTGGACAAATATAGGAAAAGTGCGCTTGGCACTTGCGTTTTAGCAATGTCCCATAATTTTTTTTTTTTTTTAATTACGGCTCCAAAGACGCAAATGGTAATTGCGTCTTTGGTATTCTATACATCCATCGCATCTACGAAATGCGTTTTACGTATAGTATGAATATACGGCTTGACGCATGAATCAGTTGCTAGCTAGGGCTGTGATGAGGCGGCTGATCTCCGGCGGTAGTGCTAGCCGGTACATCTCGTCACTTTCGGCGTCGTCGACTGTCGTTGTGAAGGCGACGGCGCTGAGGTCGCTGGATGAGCCGGCAACGACTATGACAGCGTTCTGTTGTCGTTGGGAGAGCAGAAGAATGATGAGCTCGACGACGACCGCAGCGGTGGAGAAAGACAAGGATAAGAAACAGGGCGACGATGTGAAGGAGAAGAAGGAGGGGAGTGGTGAGTTGGAGGTTTCAAGCTATTGGGGCATCATGCGACCGCAGATCACGAAAGAAGACGGTAGCGCGTGGCCGTGGAATTGTTTCAAACGCTTGTTTCACTTGGAACGCAAATCCCACATACGGCTTAACGTGGTCAGTCTCCGGCAACCCACCGGGGTTTAAAACGCATGTACGAGATGCGTTTGGTGTATGACGCATCTCGTACATGCGTCAAGCCGTATATTCATACTATACGTAAAACGCATTTCGTAGATGCGATGGATGTATAGAATACCAAAGACGCAATTACCATTTGCGTCTTTGGAGCCGTAATAAAAAATAAATAAAAATTATGGGACATTGCTAAAACGCAAGTGTCAAGCGCACTTTTCCTATATTTGTCCAAAAAAAAAAGCGTCATATTGGAGGAATTGGTAGGCCTATTCGTCACATTACAGTCTTTTTCCCTTGGTTCATGAGTATGCACATTATGAATGGGAATTAAAGGTCTCACCAGCGGCAGTGTGGGAACTATTTCTCAAAATGAGGGATTTTTTTTATGCGCAATGAACAAAGGTCTAGCCTCTGTGATTCATGTTCAGTTGAGTTATCATGATTTACATCCTCCCAAAAGTTCTGTCGGGTCGGAGTGTGGGGTCCTTAGAGTTGAGGTTCAACCTTTTTGGAAGAATAAATGGGAATTAAAGTGATTTGTATTGTTTAGTTGACAGGTTTTACCGTTTTAGAAGACTAGTATGAATTTGAAATACCCCTTAATAAAATAAGGTTATCATATTCTTTCATTCCCTTATTTCTTATCATCCCTTTTGATTAGTGCTTTTTAATTATTATTTTTTTTGTTCATATTGGAGTTTTGGATGTCTTTATATTAGAATCAATTGTCTTGATTTTGTGTTCTTGTATTTTTAAAATCTTTATTCTCATTATTGAATCATACATAACCAAATAACATTATTGATAATCTGATAATCATGCATTCCCATTCCACCTTACTACCAAACATGCAAAATACTTTCACTAAAACACATTACCATTACCAAGTATTTGATACTCATTCCAATTTCGATTCCCATGTGCGATCATAACACGCCCTAAGTTTGTTCCGGAATAGGTGGATAAATAGATAGAATATAACCAGAATAGTTAGTGTTAAAATATAACCAGATTAGTTAGCGTGAGTAGTTATACATTTTTATCTTTTAGAGAGAGGTTAGGAGTTCGAAACCTCCCTCGTATTATTAAAAAAAAAAAAATATGACCATTCCAGAACACTAACAGCTTATTTAGTAGCGTCGCTATTGGTGCCCGCATGGGTAGCTCAGTTGGGTAGCGTTTAAAAATAAGCAAATAAGCTATTGGTGGCCGCATGAGCAGCTCAGTAAGCTATTGGTGCCCGCATAGGCAGTTTAGTTGGTTACATCAGTCTCACCATCAACAGTGTGGGAGCAACCTCTCAAAATGAAGGAGCTCATTGTCCGGAGTAAACAAATGTCTAGTCTTAGTGTTCAGCTGAATTACCATGATTTACATTCTCTCAGATGCTCTGTCAGTCAAGGTGTAGGAGCCCTTGAATTGGGGATTCAACCTTTTGGGAAGAAAGAAAATAAGCTATTGACTTTTAATATTTTTTTTATCCTTATTAATTTACAAAATGATACAATCTATATATCCTTGATTAATTAAAGCCTAATACCTAAGAGAAAAGTATTTCTCTATTTAAATATCTAATGAACGGATAAGATTAAAACAATGGTTTGGAATCGGCCTCCTCCGCGACCGGTCGGCTAGGCGGCCGCCTAGACCGCCTAGCCGGCTGAACCGGCGCTGAATTGATTTTTTTTTTTTTTTTTTTTTTTTTTTGCGTTTTCAAGTGGAAAAAGTTCGGGAAGGCATAACTTTTGACTCGGTTGTCCGTTTTGGACAATTTTTTTTTCAAAATGTGTATTTTTTCGAGATCTATCCATCGCAAACTGCCAAAGGTCCACTAATTTCTCCAAAAAATGCTTCTTTTGCTCTTAATTTTAGTTTTTTTTTTATGTATTTAGATGGTTTCAACAATCTTTTGAACACTTTTACAACCACTTACGTAAATAGTTTGTAAGAAATAACTATGGAAACCTTATATTTTATTGCTAAATTTTAAAAAATTTTAATTTTTAATTTTATTTTTAATTAAAAAAATAAAAAATAATAATAATAAAATAATAAAAACAATAATAAATCGGCGCATAGGCGTTAGGCGCCCCCTTGGCGCCTAACGTTTTTTGCAACCATGATATATATATATATATATATATATATATATATATATATATATATATATATATATATATATATATATATACACACACACACACACACACTATAACCGCATTTCGGAAACGCTGTTGTAGTATTTTGTACATCAGACGCATTTCTCAAATGCATCTGATGTTGGTAGTCCCATTAACTATGTCCGAGTTTGGGAAATGCGGTTTTTTGCCCAACCACGTTTCCCAAATTCGGTTTTCTCTTGACCGTCCAAAAATAGTCAGCAGCCTATTTTTGTCCAGTCAAGGGATGACTATCATATAACAGTCATTTCCTCTATATTTTTACATTAGTACTTCTGAAATAATATAGTGCAGAAATATATTGAACATATACTGAATTCAATCAAAGTATAAGTAAGATTAGTTATTTTAGGTGATATTCCGAATACAGTTAATGAAATAAACAAACCACCGAATAAAACATAGCTAGATCAAATTTGATAACGTAGTTTGGAGAACACCCCCTAATCTGCAGGATCATGTCCAAAACTTTTTCATTCAAGATCAACCCGCGGTATTTACAATTAGAAGTTTCAATAAATTAGGAGGGTATATTCAATCATGACTTTCATAGAGTTTTAAAGACTTTTATGAACTTTAAAAGTTTGAAGGTATTCAATTCAAACTTTTAGAGAGTCTTTAAAAATCAGGCGGTATTCAATCAAGATTTTTAAAGAGTCTTTAAAAGTGGTGCGGTATTCGATTAATACTTTTAAAGAGTCTTTAAAAGTCATGTGGTATTCAAAAAGTTATGAACTTTTGTAGACTTTTTAATTTTAAGACTTTTTGTAAACTTTTCCTTCTCATCTTTAATTCTTACCAATTATCATCCACGACTATTGTTTCAGTACCAATTTTCATCCACAACTATTGTTTTAATGTCAAAATTAATCACGTCGATCACCCCTTCGTTTAAGACTTGCCGAAATATGAAATTATTAAGGATATTTTTGTCCTTTTCAAATTAAGATCCCAATTTGAGTATGAATAAATGGATTTAAGCTCTAAACTTAATCCCAATTCATAGTTCTCTTCCTCAAACTAAGGTAGGATGAGAATGAAAACTGCGAATTGGGATCGATCTTAGGAGTTTAAATCATTTTATTCATGTTCAAAATGGATTTTAAGTTGAAAATGATGAAAATACCCTTAAAATTTTAGATTTCAGCATGTCTTAAACGGAGGTGTGACCGTCGTGATGAATTTTGAAACTAAAATAATAGTCATGGATGAAAATTGGTACTAAAACAATAAGTGTGGATGAAAATTGGTACTAAAACAATAGTTGTGGATGGAAATTTGTAGGAATTAAACATGTGGACCAAAACTATCATTTTGCTCATACTCATGGGACCAAAATTGGTATTTGCTCAAATAATAATGTTGAGAATGTTGATGTGGGTGAAGAACTATATAATAAAAAGAATTTTATGATATATTATAAATATTTTATAAGAAAATTGTAAATGATAAGAATCAAAATCATTGAAAGTTTGTAAGGATGTATTCAATTTAGAATTTCAATGACTTTTGTAGACTTTTTAAAATAAAAAGTTAATAAAAGTCTATGAATGTTTTTTTATATAGACTTTTATAGAGTCTTATAAAGTTTTAAAAAATTTGGAACGACTCTATGAAAGTCAATCAAAGTTTATTAAAATCTATCATTTTAAAAGTCTTTAAAACTCTACAAAAGTCATTGATTGAATACACCCCCTTAGTGAATTACAAAACTAGGTCTACCACCTATTTAAACACTAACCTTGTAAAAAAATTATCCAAAAAAATTAACAGATACAATTTGAGCTCATTCTACCAATTACACAAATTACAACTTCTCAAGATAGTACTCTAGTCTGTCCTTATTTCTTTCACGTGCTTTGTGAGTAAATA